CTGATCTTGCAGTTCAAAAGGCTTTGCAGTCTGGTGCCTTAACCCGCAGAGCCACAGCAGGACTCCCTTGTTGCTGGTGGTAAAAACTACGTCAAGGCGTCTCAGCTTGTACTGGCTTGTGCCTTGATGGGCGGGCCTGAGCCTCGGAGGTTGGGCAGAGGACTAGCCTAGGCAGAGGGGGTGGAGGGCGGGGTTAGTGGCTGCAGGCAGATGGCGTCCCTGTCTGACGACATCAAATAATGCCTCTCTCTGTCTCCCTGAGCCATGGGCACCCAACCCGCCCTACATCCATGCCGACAACGCCTCCCATGGCAATGAGGGCCCCCCCCCCCCACGAAGACCGTGCCAGTTCCTGTGGCCCCACCCGCTCTCCGGGCACGCTCACCTTCCGAACTAGTCCACTCAAGCCCCGCGCCCCAAGCTCCGCAGTGGGTGGGCGCAGTCCCGGAGTGGGAGCTGAGTGCAGGCAAGTGTAAGCTCAAAATGCCCACAACTCCCCAGCAGCTTGATCCTTCAAAAAAGCAAGTCCACAGTGTTGAAGGCTAAAGTCCTACGTTTGCCCAAAGGCTGTCTGCCTACCAGGCAGGCGCCCCCACCCCCAACCCCGTGCGATGCCACCCACACCTTCCCTGGAGCCTGAGCACCTGTGCTGCCCAGCCAGGGAAGCGCCGGAAGTCCTCTCCTGTCCATGGTATATTTAATATTCTTTGTCAACATAATAATTCAAAAACATCAATTCTTCTTCAGTCTTCCTTATTCGTTGTCCAGCTTTCACATACATATGAAGTGTTTGAAAATACCATGGCCAGGCACACCTTAGTCCTCAAAGTGACATGTTTGCTTTCAAAAACCAAAAAACAATTTAAAGAAGTATTTTGCATATTTTGCAGAAGATGGACCCAATGCAATATGTTGTTTAATTTGCTGCTTCCATGAGCACTGATTGTAGATGTAAGCCAAATTAAACCCTTGAAAACTTCAATCTTTTCTCTGGTTATCATGAGGTTTCTATTGGTTCTATTGGGAGAATTGTTGATTTCCCATGTTGAGCTGTAATCCATTAAAGGCTGTATACTTTGATCTTCATCAATATATGGTTCAAGTTCTCTTGACTTTCAGCAAGTAAAGTTGTGTCATCTGCATATCACAAGGTGTTAATAGGTCTTCATTCAATCCTGATGCAGTGTTCTTCATTAAGTCCAGCTTCTTGGATTATTTGCTCAACATATAGATTGAATAATTTTGGTGAGAGGATACAACCCTAATGGACACCTTTCTTGATTTTAAACCATGCAGCTACCTCTTGGTCTATGTACAGGTTATTTATGAACACAATGAAGTGTTCTGGAAATCTCATTCTTTGCAATGTTTTATATTATTTGTTATGCTTGAATGCCATTTCATAATCAATGAAGTGCAGACAAACATCTTTCTGGTATTTGCTGCATTCGGCCAAGATCCATCTGATATCAGCAATGATATATATATCATTATATGTCCTCTTCTGAATCTGGTTTGAATGCCTTGTTGATGTAACTGCTACAACCATCTTTGAATTACCTTCAGAAATTGCAAATTGATCATTTCTGTGCTATGGTGAGTTACCGTTCTTTGGAATGAACATGCATATGGATTACTTCCAACCTAATTCACTGTACCATATTGATTTTCAAGAGCTATTTACTTTTTATCAGAACAACTTCCTGAAACCTAAGTTTGCAAAAATAAGAAGTTACTGAAAGATATGTGGCTTGATCTAAGGTTAAAATTGTGAACTACTCCGAGATGGTAGTTTGCTTAGTGCTTGATATAAATTTCTGTTATTTCTTCAAAAATGAAAAAATTTTGCAGCACTCTGTGAGTTCCCTATGATGGCTTGGAGCATCTTAGTCCTTGGGTATCATGACTCTAGACTTACTAAGTCTTTTTAAAATCCTACTTCTTTTTTGTTCACTTACTTTTCTAAATATGTTCTCCCACTATTTCATTTTCACTTTTAAAGAGAGGCAATAAAAAGTAGTAATGACATACTATACTTTTCCAAGATGATAATTCATAAACATGGCATATATTCTCTCAGACCTTTCAGAAAGTATATAATTAATGAAAGTAAAAATGACATAAGGATATACGTTGTTGTTAATGTGCTGTGGAGTCGGCTTTGACTCAGACTGACCCTGTATAGTGTTTATGAGGCTGTATGAATGCATACATATAAAATATTCAGGAAAGATACTAATTTGTATCTAACTACTCTATTTTCCTAACAGTTTAAAAGGAAACTGTCATGCATAAAGTAAGGAAACTTATGCTAACTGTACAATGTCTTTAAAAATTAAATTTTCTTGTGAATTAAAGACCTTAAATGATGCAGGTCATATATTTATTTTTCAGTGAAAAGTTTTTTCAGAGGAAATCTTTAGAAAGAAATGAATTCATTACATTCATTTTAGGAATTTTATACATGACCTCCTATCACCAAGGTTTGTGGGCTTTATTTTTCAATACTTTTAAAATTTCATTAATTGATTCTGGGTAGGAGGAGGAAGTTCTGAGTTATAGAATTGTTTGGAAGTGTTCTTTAATGCATGTCCTAACTTAGTTTGTTCCAGGATTGACAGGAGAAAGAAGAGGCTTGAGAGAGAACTGATTTCATTACCCACTGAAAATGGTTTCCCCTTTGCCTTCATGACAAAGAGAAAATACAGACATGGAAATTGCATAGTCCAGGTCAGGAAGATAAAACAGAAAGAAGTAAGAATGAAGGTAAGTGATAGCAGATAAATGAAACAAGAAAGCACAGGAATACATTTCTGAAATTGCTGCAGTTTCCTTAGTTTCTGTAAATGCCAGAAAATTAAAACTTTGAGTTTGACAAAGTTTGAAATAGAGAATCAGTTTACCTAGAAATAAGTATGTGAGAAGTAATTATTTCATTTAGAATTAAAATTTAGATGGACCTACCTTGTCCATTCAAAATCTTCTGCATTGAAGATATTTTTAAGTAGTAGATTTCTCACTATATCCCTACAGTAAACACAAAGGGTAAGCAATGCTCCGAGTAAGGCATTTGTTCGAGAGTTACTGATGTTCAGCACTACCAGATCTGAAACTTCTTTTAGATGATCTATCACACCAACATAGACTTTTTCCAAATCTTCTTTTGAATGAGAACTCATAAAACTTTTGATACAATCGTTATAAAACATGATCTGGGTCTGAAAGATAAAATAGAAATATGATCACTGAAGCACAGATTTTTTTAAATTAAAACATTTTCATGATATAGATGTTGTGTATGTATACATGTGAGTGCATTTGTGCATACTGAGAATCTATACATTTATATATATTTAAGGGTTAAATATTGAAGTTTTAAATATCTGTGGGAGCCTTCTTAAGTATATGAAAGTATATTTATCATTAATATTTATACTTTCTAAATCTTGTAGTCTTAACTCATTCATTCACCACTAGGATAAATAATAACCTGGAACCTTAACAACAGTATAAAACTCCAAGAATGAAATTACTGCCTCTATTAAATTCAGAAGTAATATACCTAGAACATGTCATTTCTATAGTCTTAATGATCTAAAAGTGTATTTAACAGATGTTATTTGACATAGCAACCCTGAATAGGGTTTCTAAGGAGTGGCTGGTGACTTTTAACTGCCAACCTTGTGGTTTAGACCAACTTTGTGATTGAGTGCTTATCCTACAATGTCACACCAGGACACCATTGCCCTACAAGCTTAGAGGCATACTAAACATATTAGTTGAATCAGCCAATGGTCAACATGGGATTTGGTAATTAACATAAACTGGGACAATTAACAGGGGTTTGTAAAGCAGGCAATGCCTGAGTGAATCTTGAAGGATAAATTCAAGTTGTTTAGGTGAGTGTAGAAGTAGAGCAAATAGCATGTACAAAGATTTAGAGACACACGATTATGATCTATTTGGAACACTGCATCTAGTTTGAAAAGTTGAGAAGTGATGAAATAAATGAAACAGATCATTAAGGGGTTAAAATATAATATTTGAGTTATTTTCATGGAAGATAGCTAAATACTTTTTTAAAAGTAGAAGAATTCAAATTCAATTTGCCTACTAGAAAGATCCCTCCTGGAAACGTTATAGAGAATGGTTTGGAGTATGAAAGTAATAGTGACTTTGGGGAAGAACAAGAAAATTATTTGAAAAGCTATGAAAAAGGGCTACCAAATTGGCGTCAGATTGATTCTGGAAGGTAATGGAGAGAGATTTTCCAGAATGGCTTATAGACTTCTTTTTTGTACAATTGGATGAATTGTGATTTCAGTCACATAGCACCTACCAAAGAGAGGGCATGCTGGGGTAAAAGGGCTTAATGGATTTACTTTGGGATATATTGGTTTCAAAGTATCCAAGAAACTTATCTGTGAGTTTGTCAGACTGTTGTTGCTTAAGGCTTTCTGTGACACTAGAAGCAATGCAGTAGTTGTTTCACCCACAGTGGAAAAGTTTCAGTGGAGTTTCCAGACTAAGAAGGAATAGGGAGTCTATTTCTGAGGGATTAACCCATGAAAATCTTATGAATAGCAGTGAAGAATTGTCTGATATAGTGTAGGAAGCTGAACACCTCAGGTTGGAAGGCGCTGGAATTATGATTGAGGATGAGCTGCTTCCTCAAAGTCTGAATGACATGGGTGGAGCCAAGCTTTCAGGATCTTCACTTGCTGATAGGGCATGACTCAAAAATGAGAAGAAAAAGCAGCAAGTACCCATTAATAATCAGAATGAGAAATATATAAAATATGAATCTAGGAAAATTGAAAGTCATAAAAAATGGAATGGAACACATAATGATCCATATTCAAGGGATTCATGAGCTGAAATGGACAGGTATTGGACATTTTGAATCTGACAGTGGTATAGTTTCTTATTCTGAGGAGAAATTCAAGATGAATGGTAACACATATATCATCAAAAAGAATATTTCAAGATCTATCTTGAAATACAATGTTGTCTGTGATAAGATACACCTAGATGGGAAACCAGTTAATACCACTATTACTCAAATTTACACAACAACCACCAAAGCCAGTGATGAAGAAATTAAAGAATTCTACCAACTTCTTCAGTCTGAAATTGATCAAACATGCAATCAAGACGCATTCATAATTACTGGTGCTTGGAATGTGAAAATTGGAAACAAAGAAGATGGATCTGTAGTTGGAAAATATGGACTTGGTGATAGAAATGATGCTGGAGATCACATGATAGAATTTTGTAAGGTCGGTGATTTATTTATTGCAAATACCTTTTAGAGCAACATAAATGGTGACTATAAATGTGGAACTTGTCAGAAGGAATATACAGGAATCAAGTTGACCACATCTGTGGGAAGAGCTGAGCTCATCAGCCAAAACAAGGCCAAGTGTTGACTGAGGAATAGACTATCAATTCCTATTTGGACAGAGCAAACTCTGGCTGAAGCTGAAGAAAATTAAAACAAGTCCACAAGAACCAAAATATGACCTTGAACATGTCATCTGAATTTAGAAATCATATCAAGTATAGATTGGATAAATTAGATAGTAATGTCTGAAGACCAGAAGAGTTGTGGAATGACATCAAGAATATAACACAGGAAGACAGCAAAAAGTCATTAAGAAGACAAGCAAGAAAGAAAAGACCAAAATGGATGTTAGAAGAGACACTGAAACTTGCTCTTGAACTTAGAGAAGCTAAAGAGACTGGAAAACATGATGAAGGAAAAGAGCTGAACAGACTTTTCAAAAGGTAGCTTGAGAAATGTGCACAGATAGGGAGTTACAAAATCAAAAGGGAAGAACAATGCTAAGGATTTCTCAAACTGAAACTTATCAAACTAAAGGAAAAAAAAAATCCAAGTCTCTGGTTGCATATCGAAAGATTCTACATACAAAATATTAAATGAAGCAGGAAATATCAAAAGGAGATGGAAGTATAAGCCACCACATAACATGGATGAACCTTGAGGACATTATGCTGAGTGAAATTAGTCAGTCACAAATGAAGAAATACTGCATAAGACTATTATTGTAAAAGCTTAAGAAAAATTACCCACACTAAAAGGGAACCCCCCCTACTGTGTTGGTTACTAGGGGTGGGAGTCGGGGGAAGGGGAGAGAGGGGAAGGTAGAGCACAGGGTAGGGAATAGACACAAGATAGTTAAGGTGTTGGGAGGGATAATACATAAGAAGGGGGAGGGGAATGGAAGAATAAGCAGATAGGAGAACATTTAGGCAGGTTTGCATTGACTAAATGGGACAGAGGTAAATAGTGATGTTTGCTCAACCTAGAAACAACAAAGCTCTGTGATACAGGGATTGAGGCATAGTCCGAATGGGTAAAAGAGGGGAAATAATGTTAAGATGCTTGACTGTCTTATGAATCTTGATTTCCCTTGCCTACTATGGTAAAATAGACACTTGAGGGGGAGACAAAGGAATAGCCAGAAACATGACTATAGAAAGCTTGTAAGCTGTCTTCAGCCTATAATTGATTAGAATACCTAAAAGGGGGCTAGCAGTTGCCCAGTGTAAGAGGCTCCTTGCAGAGCCTTTGTAGTGTAAAAGACCATAGATGGAATCCTGAACCTCATCCAGAATCTTCTGAGGTGGGAAATTTCCACTTGAAAAAAGAAGCAGATCAGCCTGGAGCAGTCAGAGGAACATACAATACTTGTTAAAAGAAAGAACAGCAGGAAAAATTAAAAGTAATAACAGCAGATTGATTGAATACTACCAGAACAAGCAAGTTGTTCGCCAGGGTGCCATCAAAGCAAGCAATCAAATCCCTTCAGGACAAACCCCCTTCCAAGACTGAAACTCAGAGGGAATACACGAGCAGGCATGTAATCTTGCTGGTGACCATGTTGGTCTGCTGATGAGGGGAAGTGGGGGAAAAGCAGCAATGAAGATGTGGGCTGAGTCCGACCACATTAAATAGACTCCCGTCAACCTGGAGAGATACCTGGTTGGCCAGCAGTATGGTGAGACCTAGGGACTCCTGAGCCTTGGACAGGGACATAGCCACAGAGGGCTAGAGTGGAGAGTGATGCATCCATCTGGTATGGAAGGGAGATGCACAAGAACACCCATACTTGCAGATAGTACCCAATTCACCTAGCTTCAATGGCTGCGTGATCAGAACTCAACTAGAGGAAGAAAGAAGAGAGAAAAAAAAAAGTGTAACCTGCTATAATTTGATGAATTTGACCTATACTTACAGATGCAGTAGCTTTAAATAGGGAAGGAATCTTCACAACAAGGATCATTCCCACCCCCTCTGTGCACAGGGTTGATATGGATGGGCAACTTAGACATTGGCTACCTAAAATGGGGGGTGCTATAAAGGCACGAAGTGACTGACTTACAAGTTTTCAAGAAGAGTTTAGTTTAAAAGGTGATGGGGAAGGTAGAATCCCTAATGAGTGTTTTTCAACCTATCTAGAAGGGGCTGGTGAAAGGAGATGGGGATAAGAGTCTGTGGTTCAACAGTGAGTAATTGTTATCAGGACTGATTGTGATTGTTGCAAATGTAAAGGTAGATGTTTTGTATCTAAAAGAGGAGAGTGGCTGATCTTGCAGTCCAAGAGCGGAGGACCCTGAGACCATTGAAAGAGAAGAGCTGGAGTAGAGTGCAGGACTCTATTCAGAGAAGCAGAGATGCCAGAGATGGAGGGATGATGACGTGGAAAGATAGAGCGGCAGGGACTGTAGACTCATGAAGGGAGAGGGGCTGTGTGTTGGCGTCCGGGGGGCAAGCCTGCAGGTTATGTTCTTTGATTGTTTGAATGATTATATATTCCTGAGTGCTTTGGTGTACATTCAAAAACAACAACAAAGAAACAGAAGGAATAAAAGAAAATGCTGTTGAATGGTGACACACACAGAGAGAGGGGATTGTAATCGTCACAGTGAAACAAAATCTAATAGGAGGAGTGTGAGCTGATGTTCTCCCATGTAAACTATCACTCAATTCACAATAAAAACCTAAAAAAAAAAAGAAAAGATGGAAGGATACACTACTTATGTCTTCAAGTGAGCTACACTGCAGAATAAGCACTAGACTGCTAACAACAAGGGACAGAAAGCTGTGACACTGGGGGAGTGGCAAGGGAGCAGCAGCAGCAGAACTAAGAACCAGAGCATGAGACAGAGCAGTGGACTTCCTCAGTGGACGTCCTAGTCCACTGAGCAAGTGAGGACTCTA